AGTCGCTGATCAAAACAAATTGTTTGTAGTTTTCCATGGATGACGTATCATTGCAAACCCTCGATTGCATTTCCTAGTAAAGATGCACAGAATTCGCAAATATTTACACATTATGTATGATATTTCTCTTCTTTGTAAGTTTGTCATCGCGCCAAAGTAGTATCTCGGTTTAAAAAAGTATTTAGATATTTTGGAAATGTTTGCACGTTTAACTGTTCATTTAAGCACCCATAGACTTGTTAATTTTCCGTAACACGTATCTGTGATGGCCCGAGTGTGTAGAGATATATAACGAAAGGGGATGATGTTTGATGAAGACATGTACAGCACTCAGTCTAAACGGCTAGAAATATTGTCCAGGCAGGGCAAGATCTCCAGTCCAATCCAAGGTGTTGTTCAACCCAAAAGATACTGACCTTTCTGATTTGTATCTTTCTTCTGCAAATAAACTCTTTTCCTTCGCAATATTTATGCGGAAATTCTTAAATATCTCATTCCTTCCTTCAAACAGACGATCGCTTTCTTTCTATCAGTAATTGAACTTGCCTCTTACGTAGCCTAGCATGCTATTGGTTAACTCTTGTGTCCAACATTTTAATTCGAAATGCCTTCCGTTCGATTTGTGCAAGAATCAACCGTAACCTGAAGTGAAGAGGAGAAAACCTTGATCTCGGTATATCCTCTCAGAAAAACAAATAATTACCCAAATAGAGGAAAATGCGCGCCCAAGCAAGTAATTCAACAGAAGTAAATACTATCACCGGAGCAAATAGGTTATTTTCCTGGCGCTTCGGATTCTTCCTCGAATCCATCCTCAGACTAAATCGCAGAAACGTCTGATAGAGGAAAAGGGTGTCTCTGATGATGGGTTCGCGCGAGCAGTTTAAACGTCAGGTCAATGGTCCTCTTGTTTCGGCGCTTGCATCTTCTCTTTCTGAAATGCTTCCCGTCACCTGCTAGTGCGCCGCTTCAAAGCTGAAGGAGCAGCACGATAACACTTAAATAGAACAATAAAACTCTTAAATTTGTTTAAAACTAATATAAGTCATTTGGAGACAAAACATCAATTTCGAGTCATTGAGTGTAGGGTGTTGGTCTTCAGTAAATCTCAAACAGACCTAAAATTAGGGCATCGAAGTAATTGACTTCCGGCTCATTGTTACTTCCTCTAAACGATTGTCTTTTTAGGCGGAAGTCAGTTCATCCGACTAAGTTGGACTTGCCTTTGGACACGAGCATGAAGCGTGTCAGGAAACAAGTTGTCAAAAAGTTGGGAATTATGGCAGGAAAGTCAAGGAAGCTTCTAATTTTTGTTTTCAAGTGTAACTTTTGCGTTTCATATCCGGGAAGGCACACAGTAACTACGATATTTTGACTAACTTTATGATGAAAGTTTCTTTTTATGGTGACTGTCAGGGGAGAGGAATAAGGTTTATATGAAATGTGTTTCCTTAAATTAGCTTTCCAGTCGGTTGCAGACGGCTTTGGAGCATAGAGTAAGGAGATAAAGGGTGGTAGTGATGTTGAGGTTGATATGGTAAGGATATTAAGAGGATAGAAGTAAGAGCAATACATATACTTGAGTTATTTATTCGTCTGTCATTTTTAACAATGTTTGGCAACTAGATATACTCTTTATGAACTTTAGTTACTTTTTAACATTTGTGGTCAAAAGCCAGCCATAAAAATAGATGCACTGGTTAATGTTCTCGTACCCTGTATAGTAACATGCAATAAGGAGAGTGTCTTATATTTCAGCTTACAAAAACGTCCGTCCGTACAGTAAGGTTCACAAATCGTGTACCATGCCGAAATATGTGAACTATTGATACTTTCTCGCTAATCGGCATTGAGTAAGGTTGTAATACTGATTAGCGTGTAGTCTATTCTGAAGTCATTTCAGTCACGATAAGATGCCGGCTTTTTACTGAGCCTCTTTCTGATCGCTAACAAAACGTATGTACTGTAAAAAGTGGCTACTTACGAGGTATGCATTTTTATAAGTGATTTTGACCGTCTTCATAAATTCAAATATATTTTATGGGAGAAATAAATGAAAAAATCCTTTCTTATACTCGTTTGGTAATAAAATACGCCTTCTTTTAATTGTGACCAATGGAGTGAAGCAGGGTTGTGTCCTTGCGCCTACCCTCTTTAGTCTAATGTCCTCTGCCATGCTGACGGACACCTATCG